CAAAGCTCTACAGAATATTTACACTTGTTCATAGCGTTACATTATTTATGCCAACAGACAACGTAATGTAATATTTTCCATAACCTCAAATATTGCACATCATCCAAAACACGTGAATTGAAGATGATGATAAACAAAATAACTTAGATCAGCTCAATAAAATCAAATAAATGAAATTGGAGTAATTTCGCTTTGGGGTGGAGAGGTACAGTAGCAACACTTCTGCTTGTTGTATTAGAAAAAATCAAATTTTTTCTCCATGATTTATTTCAACCATCTTCCAGTGCCTACACTCATCTATCTCACTCCTCTCTCTCGCACTACATGTTTCGGCACAAAAGTGCCATCTTCAGGTGCTTATTCGATTTACGATAAACTAGTTCATTGCAAGCCTTGCTGTTTTCATATTAAAATAACTAAAATATATATTTATCATATATATTGATAAATATGAAATATTAAAAATATTAAAATTGTTCAAGATTTTTCATCCCTACGTCGTACCTCACTACGCGAGTCACACCTATCCTCTTCTGTTGGAGCACTCTTTCTACTTTCGTGTGTGTATTGTGCTCTGTGTTGTGTCTTGCTCCTGTGACTGCGTGTGTTGTACAGCTGTGTGTTGCTGCGGCAGAAATTCAATAGGTATTCTGGAGAGAGCGTGCAAGATTTCGATTGGGTTCGTGATCCATTTGTTGTGAATTCAGAACATCTTCCGATTAATATACAAGAGAAACTCGCAGATTTAAAAGCATACAGAACATTGAAACTAAAACTTCTCGAAGTGCCTTTGGATACGTTTTGGTTGGAAATAAGGAGTGGATACCCGGCCATCTCCGAGATGGCAGTTAATATCTTATTGCCATTTTCAACTACATATTTGTGTGAACTGGGCTTCTCGACGTTAACTGAAATTAAGTCATCACAGAGGGAGCAGCTCAAATTCATCGATGAAGAACTGAGATTTGCGTTGTCAACGATTCCACCACGGATCCGTCGCCTGTGTGCAGCTACGCAGGCGGAAGAATAACATTGAGGGTATGGGTAGAATTACTGTATTTACTTTAATAGTAATAGAAGTGTATTTTCTACGCTCTACAGTGAATTGAAGTTCATTAATTGTTAATAAATGCATGGGTCGATTTCTGTTTAATGATAATAAAATAACAATATAATAATATTATAGCAATAAGTTGATCACGTTACGTATTTATATTAATTGTCTGATATCATGCGTCTTTGAGGGGAATAACATTTTGGTGTGCCGTGTTCAGTAATGGATACTTCATGGTGTGCCACGGTTAGAAAAAGGTTGCAGAACACTGGTCTATAGGGACCGAAACATGTCAAGGTGCTAAGATGTGAAGTAGTAAAAGCTTCAACAGTCACACTGGACGGAATTGTTTTATCATTTGTGCACCATCAGGCTATTAGGGACGAACAGCCTTAAGAAGGGAGCAGTGAGACATGTTGTGCAATGGAGGACAACCCCTCCCTGCCAAGCAGTGACGTGGCGGGTGAGTCAGCGCTCCGTCCCCCCCCCGCCCCGCGGTGACGTAACGCGCAACGCCACAATTGCTACGTCGGCGAGTTCAGTTGTCACGGTTGTCACAGTTAGTTAAAAGTGTATCAGCGGCCGAAGACAGTTCTCCAGTCAGCAGTGAATAAATTAAAAGTGTATCAGCCGCTGAAGTGAGTTCTCCAGTCAGCAATGAACAGTTAAGTTGGAGTATAGCAGCCGTCGCGGATAGAAAAACCGGATGTGTGTGTAACTGAGTAATAATTGGGAGTGTGTGATACAGGGACACTTGTATAGCTTCCGTATCGTAATTAGTACGTGTAGCCTACTGAAGATAGAGTGAAGAGATTATTGCGAATAGGGTTATGAAGTGTGAAACCCCGCATCAGTGTGAACAGATTTGATGGCGAATAGGGTTATAAAGTGTGAAACCCCGCAACTGTGTTATAAATAATTGTAGCCGATACTTGTAGGTTGTTAAATAAACTAATTAACAATCCGAACCGCGTCTTCAGTAACGAAACACATTGCAATATTGTTAGTATGACGGACCAGAATGAAACAAAAAAAAAAAATATTGAGAACACTTCTTGTGCGCTGTAGTTAACTGTATGCAGATTGTGTGAATCAGCGACAGCCCTATAGTTACTTGTAGTTACCTTCTGTAAGGTTCATTAAATCCAAATACCAATAAAAGCCCAATCTATAGTCACTCATATATGTGACAACTAGTGTCAGAAGTTGGACTTTATGAATCGTGCACCGTTAGATTTGAGCCAAGGAGATGGATAATTATGGCAGAACACGAACGTCTGGTAGTCAACATTGTAAAGTTCGAGGTCAAGACGAAAGCCAAGATGGATGCCTGGCGAGAAGAGACAATGGCCTGAGAAGCGACGAAGCTGTCTTTAGAAAAGGCTAAGGCCCAAACCAGATAACACGAGGGCCAGCATCAAAGAAATGGAGGCCGCGGTGGAAACCAGACTAGAAGAAATGAAGGCCAGGATGGATGTCAACGGGAATGCCAGTCTAAAAAAAACGGAGGCCAATACAGAGGCCGGTCAGAACCAAGGAAAGCCAAAAGTTTGACTAATTTGAAAGAAATGGACACTATGAATAAGGACCTAACCCCAGAACAAATTAAGTCTGTAGCGGAGCAGCAGGAACACGCTAAGGAAGAGGCCGACGTGGAGATGATCAGGGCACAGAAGGACCGATATGGGGACAGACATCTAGCTGTAGGGCACCGCTGATAACCAGAGAAATGGACCCAGAGCGAGTTCAGACAGACGTTGGTTGATCCGCCGTGTCATTCCTGTACTGCGCAAGGGACAAACGGTCATCAGAGACCAGGCAAGGACAATGTCGTATGCGGAACCCCTAAAGGGTGGACGTTCAAGAAGAGACATCGGGTGCCACTTGAACACAACAATGGCATAAGAGACCGTAGTCCTACACATGAGTTGCTTCTGAGGAGCAAGGAGACATTTTATGAGGCCCTGGGACAAATTATCAGACTGGAGGTCACGAAGCAAACAGTCGAGTTTTCCAATAAACTGAGGAAAATGAGCGTCAGGACATTTCGGAAGAGTCAGCCCATGCCCAAGCGGAAGAAGACACTACTAGCAGTTTAAGAATCAAAGATGTAGAAGCACTGTCCACTCTTGGAAATTTTGTCTGTACCGTCAGAAAAGATGATGCTGGTACACCTGGATCACCTGCCACATTATCAGCGAACCACTCCGGACGAGCAGCGTTAAGGAAGGAGCAGATAACATTTATGACACTGAATCACTTAAAATATATCTTTAAATTCAGTTCAACTATTTTTCATTGACTTCCAATGATATATCTGTTTAGTATCAGGACTACAATTATATATTCTGCTGCTATAATGCTTCTTTTGAAAATATCAAAACAATTACAATTAGGCCCGGTACTGTGAGCACCAGAATTATTACAACAGGCGAACCACGAAAACATCAGCCCAAATAATACTAGTATCTGTATTAAACACGTTATTCTGTGTAATTTCAAATTCCTTTATTCTAGTGTTTCTTAGTTGGTTTCATTCTAATTAATGGCAGTATTGAAATGACATTATTTTACCTAAATTTGTGTTGTCACTCTGTGAATCAGAAAGGTTGAGAACCATTACAGGCCTACAGTTACTATTAGGTCCTATTGCATATTCGCCCATCACCACCATTGTTATCATATGCAATCTCTTATACCCAGGTCAGATCTCACAGGCTACTATGGGTATTCTTACATGAAGGTTACAAATCTTTGTTTGTGGCATTTGATATTCTCACAGCAGTGACTATGGATTACTATCATCTGGGATAGGCTGCCATGTAGTTTCGTAGGACAGAGGTGGCACGTCCTTCTCGAACACTGGTAAACTAACGTTCCCTTAGGAGCAGCCCCAGCCTTCCACATGCATTAACGAAATGCTTAAGACTTGGGACTGAACATATGGCTGGGTGACCAAGATGGACAACACACAAGGGCAGTCCTGCTACCTCTCACTCTTATTTGTAACCAAGTTTCTTAGCAGATTCTAATGGGTTATACACAATGGTGTATAATACTCGGATTGACTGGGTTTTTGGACTTTGTCCATAGTCCAGTTTTTTAAAAAACCAGAGAACACAAAGTTTTGGAAACTGGATCTGTTTCCATTCTCCGATGAAGGGAAATACACCTACTCTGTTGGGTCCCTTAGTAAGAGCAAACTTCAGCCTCTGCATAGGATGCATTGGTTTCCATGTTGCATAAAATTTCCACCTCTTTCCTGTCTTAGTTTCAGGTCTGCCTTGTTACCCCCACTGACAAAGCCTGGTCTCAGGCACTGATGTTGCTGTTGTTATGCTAACAGGTTATCCAGTAATTGAAGTCAGCTCTTTCTAAGGGACCCAAACCTCACCTGAAGGCATAAGTAGATACAGTCTCTGAAACGTTGTTCTCTAGTGTTTCTGAATACTAGACAATGGAGACAGTCCAATACTCAGTATTTCCAAGTTTCTNCGGTTAATCCGCCCCCGGATAATCGAGAGTTGACTGTATTTGATTTTATGTGCATCTATCTATCAAACTACATGACATCACATTCCAGAAGACAGTAATTGTTCTATGGTTACAAGGACTGCAACAACTTGTAGCTTAGTATTTGAGTGCTTTTGCACATTCAATAATTTAAAATTATCCTGCAGAGAATGTGGTATCAAATCATGTGGCTGATAAATAAAAGGTAAAAAGATAAGGCTATCCCTGTAACAGGTCGGGAAGGCCCACTGGTTTGCGAGACATTGAGGCTCAAACATTTTCTAGACAGTCGGCTCACAGACAGTGGTGAGATTGTCAGCCTTACATACGAGCCATCCTTTACCCAGAAGAAATTCCTGGCACTCATTTCTGTTACAGGCTGAGTCAACCCCAGGGCCATAGTGTGGCTGGAAGGATTAGGTAAAGTGAAAGAAATCCATCTCATAGGGACTTGAACCTGCGACCTTCCAGCGTGTAGCATAGTGTCTCAACCAACTATGCTGCCGTGTGCCCCCAGTTAATAAATAAACGGGTAATTTTATCTGTTCTTTGATTCTGTATGATTTTAAGTCTGCATAAGAAATACAATTTTATTTCATTCCTACACCACATACCTCCTGTCGCAGAAATGTCTGTCATATATGAAGTGTACGATCTGTTACATGACATGTAGTCCAGCATGTAGTCAGTGTTGTGGGAATGGAAATTCCAACATGTTGTATATTTTTGTTATGTTTAATCTAACATTGATTTCATATTGTAAGTACTTTCTTACTGTTCTTGGTATTATCATAATCTGCAGAAAGATAATACTAGCTCTCTGATAAGAGGTTCTATGGTGATTAAAGACAAGATAGCAAGAAGACTTCATGGTGATTTTAGGTGCTAGTTTCTGTGTTGAGATCTGCTGCTAGGAGACGACTAGTGGAAACTGAACACTAACTTGTGTGTGCAATGGTGAACTGGAAAGTGTGCAATCAGTGATAGCACTGTATTAATGGTAATTAAGAGAACTTGTAATTGAAGTGCTAATCAATCCAATCATAAGAAGTAGAATCTGTTATTTTTGTCACACGTACCACGCTACACATGACAATACATTACATTAGTGACCTGATACCAAGATTTCGCTGATGGCCAAAACAGAAACGGATCACCTATTTGATTCTGATATTTCTGCACATATATGTTAGGCTCTTCAACAATACAATGAACCTAGTCCCTATTGAAAATAACTCAAAACAATCCACAATGTCAATCACAGATCTCTTGCATTACTCTGGGGCCCAGAAACATCACAAAAAACATGTCTGACATAATTGTCCGTACTTTTCCAGTGAAAACCTGCAGTTTTTTGATCTTCTATATTGATATCACTTTCACTCACTATCGCTTCACAATGTGCAATGTAATCAACATGACTTGAGCAATTGTCACTGCTATCAAATTCACCTTCAATTTCTGAATCACTTATGATCTCGCCTTAATATTCTACCAAAATATTATAGATTTCATTGCCACACAAACTCTTAGAACCACTTGCATCCACTGTGAAACAGGACTGAGGCAGGATTTGTGTTGCTGCAGAATGCGGGACATAGCATCAAGCACTGTAGGTGAACACCCCTCTAATGTATAAAACTTGTGTGAACATGCATACAAACCAGCAGCTTAGAATGTCTTCCCTTGAGCTATGAAACCAGCTTCAAAACATGTCTAATATTAGCAAAGAGATGGTTGGCCATGATCTACACTCCTTGAGAAAAACAGAGGTATTATTTCCAATATTATATTTAAGCATCCTGTTACACTCACACAATATATATGAGACAAACTCCGTCTTAAGTGCAACAATTTAATTGTTCTTTCTTCTTCCCTTCCTCCACACTACATGTTTCAGCCCTAAATGGCCATCATCAGGTGTGTATTCTTACATAGCTGCTACACTGCCCGTAGTTTAAAATTTAAAATCACCAGGCTTTCTAATTGTATGTACGTATAAAATCTTTGTTAATCTACACACGTCAATTTGATTTCTAAAATTGGCACTTTTTTAAAACTTCAATTCAAATTAAAATGTCTATAAATTTACTGCTCTTTTTCTTTTTCCAAATTTTTAAAAATTAAAACTTTCTTGGGGTACATGCCCTATGTCTATAGTGCTGCAGCGGCCACTTCTTGTTTTATCGCTGTTCAGGTATTGTCTGTAATATACAATTATTCGTATTACTATCTTATGTTATGTTACGTTATTCTTATATGTTTATACTGTTATTTGTACTTA